CCCAGGCTGGCCTCGAACTCACAAAGATCCGCCTGCCTCTGCCTCCCAAGTGCTGGGATTAAAGGCGTGCGCCACCACCGCCCGGCCAGGGCATATGTCCTTTAAAGGAAGGAGGGATATTTGAATCTAAAGGTTTTTTTTCTTTTTGTGTAGATGGGATAGAATTAGGTTCCACAGGAGGGATGATTGTTGGTCTTGTTTCTGAAGAAAGGACACCATTTGAATGATTATGGGAGAATGCTAAGGGGACCCTCAGAACAGGGCTTTACGGTGCCAAAGCTCCAGGGGGAGCTGAGGACGCCTGGGTTCCATTTAGCCACAGTCAATATGATGATGTTGGAAGGAAGCAAAGCTAATGGGGAAATGGAACCCAGAGAGCCTTAGGTACCGGAAAAAGTGAAGAACCCGCTCTTCTCATGACTGTGCTGCTCTTGAGCTGCCTGGGTGACGCAATTACAGCTGTGTTCATATCTGAGGGAAGAACATTTGGGAGGTGGGGGACAAAGGGGGTGTGGCCCGATTAAGAGAACTGCTGAAGTAAGGTTTGTCCATGGCCAGGACCCATACAGGGAAGCAGAGATGGACAGGAATCGTAGTATATGTGCTGGGAGTCTGAAGTTGTAAATACTGATGGGAGTTGCGTATGGGGAGATGAGGATATGAGATATGGGTTAACCAAAATTAAGAAGGTATGAAAAAGCCTGTGTATGCAAACCTACTACTTTGTCAGATAATTTAAAATAGCATTTCAAAAAGTAGTTTTAATGGAGGTACCCTCCATAGGTGGAAATGCTATTCCCAGAAGCCAAGGGTTATTAAACTAAAATCCTAATGTGAGGTGTGGGATACCTCCTTATGAATTATTTTTCAAAGAGTCCCCGGAAGCTCCCAAATAATATAGGCCATTAACATTTTTCTAGCTTTCCCACTATAGAAAGATGGTTAAACCTTATTGTTGAAGATACCACACACTTTGGTTGCAAGGAATAGATAAATCAGTCTTGAACTGACCAGGAAACTTCTTTCCTGCTAGCTAGCTTCCCTAGTGCTGGACAGTTTTATGTAGGCTGCTTGGGGAGAAGATTTATTAGTGGTCTTTTCCAGAGCTGTATCTACCATACTACAGTATCAGATTACCAGGCAAGATAGGTAATAGCAGAGTGACTGTCACAGGGATAGCCAGCTACTCTCTGATTGGATTTGAGGCATTCTTCACAAGAAGAATTTCATGCCTGGTACTGAAAACCTAGTCAAAAGTCTATGGCTAAGGAAGTCCCAGGCCCAAAGAAAGAACCTACTATTGTTGTTTTACTAAATGGTCATATTGTTAAAATGCTCTCCACCTTGATTAGAAAAGCTTCTTTTTACACTCAACAGTGATTAGTTAAGAGACTCATAACTGATCAAAATGCTGAGAATAAGTGACCCAGCCCTAAATAAGATGTCCATATGATCCCCTCTGATGTCCAGGTAACATCATGGGATAGGGAGCAGAAAGAATGCAAAAGCTGAAGAATTTGAAGAAATACTATGAAACAATCTCTTCTGTATATGACATGGATTTTGTATTCATGGACTCACAGCAGCTGTAATTACCTGCATAAGACCTGCACAAGATCAAGCCAATCAAAATTCCGGCAGGAATGGGAGAAGAGCCCATGAAATCCTGCTCTTTACTAAAGAATTAGTTGGTGGCTTCTGTGGAGGAGGGAAAGTCATCTTTATTTGGAAGATGTGGTCACTGGTAGGTTGCCCATGCTCCAGTGAATGGCCCATACCCATTTGTAAATGTGCAGCACTGATTGGACTTAGAGCATTATAAAGAACAAAAGAAGAGGATATGAAGTTGGAAGAGGGATGCATTGAGGGGGTATGTGGTGATATTTTATTTGTGCTCGAATAAATAAAGCTTGCCTGGAGATCAGAGGAAAACTCCAGCCATTATAAGTAAACACAAAAGTCACACAATGTTAACACATGCCTTTAATCCTATCACTTGGAAGGCAGGGATCTGTCTGGAGCTATGTGAGTTCAAGGCCATACTGGAAACAGAGCCAGGTGTGGTGGCACACACCTTAAATTCTAATACTAGTTAACCATGGAGGTCTGGAGGTCTGTACAAACAGACAGAAAGTGACAGAGCTGGGCAGGAAGAAGAAGTGATGTAGCTGAATGAAGAGAGCAAATCAGATGGCAGAACAGCAAGGCATATAGGCATGGATAGACAGGAAGTATCTTGCACTTTTGGAAGCTGCAGAGTTGGTGAGGTAAGGTTGGCTGGTAGCTTGTCCTATTCCTTTGATCCTTTGATCTCTCTCAGGCTTTAACCCCAATTTCTGGCTCCGAGGTTTTTTTTTTTTTTTTTTTATAAGACCATTTAGAAATTCACTATAGGGGTATATGAGGACTTGGATGGAGGATGATAGTTGGATATGATCAAAATACATTGTATACATATATGAAAGTTTCAAAGAATAAATAAATAAAATATCACATTAAAAATAAAAACAAGGAAAGAAGAGAAAAACTCACTTGCACATAATTTTCCCCCAAAGTACCACTTATTAAATAAGCTACATTTTACTAGCAGAAGAAAGCTGGAATTAGGGAAGAAGTAAACTCCCACTTATTAAACATCTACTGTTATAGACATTGATATTTACTGACTCACATAATCTTAATGTAATTCTGTGAAGTAGAAATTATTGTCTGCATTTTACTGAAGTAGAGGATGAGATCCAGAGAGAAGGAATATCATTCCTGGTCACACCACTAAGATAGTTAGTCACATTTCAGACCAATGGAGCCTTACCTGATGCCTACATGAGCAGCTGTCTTTCCTTGCTGATAGGCTTTGTCATAGATTTTCTTTGCCTGGTGTTTTTCCTTGATTTCTGCAACATAGACTTTATTGTCGATGGTCCTGATGGGGCAGAAAACAAGAAGAGGTAGCAGAGACAGAAAAGAAAAAAGGTGGTCCAAAACATAGATACAAATAAGAGGGAGAAGAAGGGGGATAGGAAAAAGAAAGAAAAAAATCTGTCATTAAGATTGAGTGGGAAGAATTAATGACAGCAAGAGAGGAAGAGGAAAATATTCTCTTGAAATTTATTTGTCAACTGGGGAAAGAGAGACCACATAACATATGGTAGACCTGTTGGAGTTTTGTGTTTCTCAAAGTGTTGAATACTTGCCTTTTAAGACACAATATTTTTAGTTGTAACATTTTTATTTTAATTGCTGAATATTTGCTAGAACATTTATTTTTAAATAAACACACCAAGCTAAGCATGGTGGTACAGTCCTATAATCCCAGTACTCAGGAATCTGAGGCAGGAGAATCACAAATTCAAGGCCATTATGGGCTATATAGTGAGTTCCAGGACAAGCTAGGCAATTTAATGAGATTCCATCTCAAGTTTCACACACACACACACACACACACACACACACACACACACACACACAATTTACTTCAGTAACTCACAGGCACTGTTGCTTGGGATATGAATAACAACCTAAAATGTGTCTTTTTAAAGAAAACACATTAGGTAAATAATATCGTGATTGGTATAAGTGGTAAAAATTGTCAGTGATGCAGGCCCTAAAGGACCTGAGCTGGATCTGACATGAATGGTCCCTCCCTCACAACTGGTGTTCATAGTACCCCATAATGCACCCTACAAACTTCCAAAGTAGGGAAGCAACCAACAGTCCTACCCAGCTTTGATGCCTGTGAGCCACAGCAACAAGCAGCATGGCACAATAACCCTAAGGGTGCAGTAGTGGCACACATACCTTGGTGGTAACCAACAGCTCTCTAATTGGAGTTAAGATATTCTCAACTAGAGAGAAATGCCTGATACTGGAAACTTAGCCACCTATCCAGGCTAATGAAGTCATGGTTCTTGGAGGAGAACCTACAATGGCCACTTTACTAAACGAGCATAATCCCTAAGTACAGTCTAAATATTTATTCTTATACTCACATATAAGTGTAGTTCTAACCCCTAATCAAGGAAACTTCTCTTTGTAACAAACAGAGATTATTACAGAAAACCACAACCAATCAAAATGCAGAGTTGTGCAGCCCATTCCCAGCTGGTCCATCTACAACACAATGCCTGCACCTAAAGTTCAGGGATCATTGCAGAAGAGGAGATGGAAAGATTATAAGAGCCAGAGGACCAGGAAGTTTGCTGTGAGATTGTGTCTCCTAGAATGTCAGAGAAACTACACCCATGAAGTCTCAACAATATGGCTGTCTTAGCATGACCTGAACAAAGAAGACACCAATAGGTACTTTAACATGGGAGGACAGGTCATGAGGCCTCAACCCTACTACAGGAAACTAAGGAATACTGAAAGTGGAAGAAACAGAAAGGGTTTATTTAAGCTTGCAATTCTTAGGTCACTCTCCATCAATGAGTGAAGTCGGGGCAGGAATTCAAGAAGGGCAGAAAACTGGCGGTAATAGCTGATGCAGAAGCCATGGAGGGGTGCTGCTTATTGGTTTGGTCCTCATGGATTGCTCAGCCTGTTTTCTTATAGAATACAGGACCACCAGCCCAGAGATGTTACCACCTACAATGCCCTGGGCCATACCCACCATCAATCACTAATTAAAAAAATGCCCTTACAGGCTTGCCTTTAGGCCAATCTGATGGGGGCACTTTCTCAGTTCAACTACCTCTTCCCAGATGACTGTAGCTTGTATCAGGTTGACAAAAAACTAATCAGCACAAGTGATCCCTTGTCAACATGACACACAAATACATCCCTATGAAACTGTAACATTTCTATCTTGTTTATCCCCAAGATCTCATGTTAATATCACAGTGTAAAACAGAACAACTTTAAAAGTCTCACACTCTTTAAAAAATCCAAACACTTTAAAAAAGTTCAGCCTCTTTAAGATAGCCAAAGTCTCTCTAAAAATTCAAAGTCCCTAACTATGAGCTCTTGTAAAATAGGGGAAAAAAAGTTACATACTTCTTATCCCAAGAGGAAAGAATCAGGGCACAGCTACAATCAAAGCAAAACCAAACTCCAACAGTGTAAGAAGTCCAGTGTTGGGAATTTACTAACAATCTCCTGGGCTTCAGAGTGCTTGGGCAGTTCCACTTCTTCAGCTCTGCCATCTACAACACACACAGCTGGTCTCCTAGGCTCAGGCCAGCTCCACACCACACTTACCACTGTCTTTAGTTGTCATCCCATAGTTCTGGCACCTGCATGCTGGATCTGCACTGCCACTGAGGCTGCACCTTCACCAGTGGCCTCTCCTGGCCTCTCACAGTGCCAAGCCTCAGCTGCTCTCCATGACCCTTTCACAAGTTCAAAAACAACACTATATAGGAGACTCTTGCACATTTCCAAGTTCAGCTACCAGCTTGAGATGCAACCTTGGTGTTCCTGGACCACAGCTTCTGTATGCTAACCTCCAGGAATCACTTTCCACAAGATTTCACCTTAATGATGCTGGTCTCTTATTAATCACAGCTGATTCTTCAGCCCCAGCTAATCAGCATCGATTGTTCCAGAAAAGCAAAAATTCCACTTTAGTGATACTGGTCTCTTGTTAATCAGTTGATTTTTCAGCCCCAGCTGACCAGAAACCAAGGATTCTCAATTCAAAATGTCATAAGAACAGTCTGATCAAGTCTTTGCTTCCCTAGGAAACTTGACCGTCCAGGTCTCTATCATCTACATTGCTCTCAGCATTCTTATCTTTCACGCTCCCACAGAACAGCTCATCTAATCACTCAACAGCGTTTCTAGTCCAGAGTTTCAAAATCATCCACAGTCCTCCCCAAAGCATCAAGGCCAGGTCTGTCACAGCAATACCCCATGGACCCAGTACCAATTTCCGTCCCAGATTGCCTTTTGATTTTGTGATAAACACTATAACCAAATGCAGTTTGTGGAGGAAAGGGTTTATTTTCTTTCAGCTTGTGTCTTATCATCATCATGAAGGGAAGTCAGGACAGGGACTTAAACAGGGCAGGATCCTAGAGGCAGGAGCTGCTGCAGAGGCCATGGAGGGGCGCTGCTTACTGGCTTGCTCCCCATGGCTTGCTCAGCCTGCTTCCTTATACAATTCAGGACCACCAGCCCAGGGGTGGGACCATCCACAGAGGGATGGGTCCTTCCATATCAATCACGAATCAAGAAAAGAACCCAAATACTTCCTTATAGGCCGATCTGATGGAGGCATTTTCTCAGTTGAGGTTTCATCTTCCCAGATGAGTCTAGCTTATGTCAAGTTGACAAAAAACTACTAATCACACTTACTAACTGGTCTCCCTTTTAAACTCTTGCTCTTTATAGATTGATCTCATAGCAGTAGAAACATCTCTTGATCATTGGTTTATTTGAGATAGGGTCTTACTACATACTACAGGCTGGCCTGAACTCACTGTGTAGACCAGGCTGGCCTAGAGCAACAGAAATCTACCTGCATCTGCATCCAGAGAGCTGAGATTAAAGGCATTCGCCATGATGCCTGGCATATATTGTTAATCTTAAATCAAGCCACTTTATTTCTACTGCTTAAATTCTCTGTAGCTTCTATCTCAACTGAGAATAAAAATGAAACTCTTCACTAGGCACTATGCAGTCTACACATTATGGCTATTACCTCTTCAATCCCATGACTATTTCTGCCACTCACCCTGCTCTGGTCATGGTGCTACTTTTTTCCCCTCCCTCCCTCCCCTCCCTCCCCTCTTTCCTTCTTTCTTTCTTTCTTTCTTTCTTTCTTTCTTTCTTTCTTTCTTTCTTTCTTTC